AGCAACATTCCCAAAATCAGTGGCCGTGAGGGAGATGACCTGTTCTGAGAGCAAATTCTGTGTCAGAAAGTTTGCCTCCTTGTCTGGGATCCCCAGGGCCTGCATCCACTGGGTTTATGGCACAGCATAAAAAATCTGAAACGAGTTACAAGAAAAAAGGGACCCTGTCATGTTTTAAGTACATTACTAGAAAACAGATTGTACTATTTTGTTCTGTTATTGGGTGAAATATTTCTCAAATACAAATTCAACCAAACAGGTGCAAACTCATTTCAACTGACAAATTGGCTGAGGCAGATACAATGTGCAAATGTTGGTGTATGCATTCAATACAAGTTAGTGACAAAACAAGGGTGAAGGAACATAAGTAGTAGAGTACAATAATACTGTAAATTCTATTGATTTAGTAACAAAGGTTGGCATGAAGATGTATAAAGTGAATACAACTTGTGAACCAAAAGGAAGAAGTGAAGTACAGATGGAAAAAGTGAAAATTAAATAAGGTCTCACTACTCCTGTTTAAATTTATGTCCATTACCAAAACTGGACAGCCAGAGTCAGTTTAACAGTTGGTGAATAAGGTTTCATTGTTTCATAATCTGAATTTAAGCCAGAAGCTGAAATTGTTTCATGAAGAACGCCCCTCCAGCACGTGTTCCCTGCTGCCCTAGTGGTAGGGATGATGGTGATGTCTGTGGTGTGGTTAGTGTTCTCCTTGTGGGGTTATTTGGTCTGTTGAATGTTGTATTTTTACAGGGGAAGAAGGGAAAACAAAGTGGAAATGTTCATTCTGAAGATACATGAACTTTTACAGGCTGCATTGTTTCTCTTGAGAGAGATGAAATGTTAAACTGTTTAACATCTGGGAGCATCTGTCCTACTCCAGACTGTGCATTAACTGAATGCTAAACTGACATCACATTTTCATGGAGATTGAGAGAGTGAACAGAAAGTGCTTAACTGTTTTGACCTAGTCTAATTTTAGAACTGGAGGATATGTAAGCAGATGCTAGATATATTTTAAAATATACATATGCATATGTAAAGGGAAAAAATTACATAAGGCCCTAATTACATAACAGCTGGATTTTATTTTATTTTTTTAGTTCAAGACAATGTAGTTCAAGAAAAGAAAAAGTAGTCAATTTGACAGTTCTATGACGCCAGAATTATTTATTTATGTAAAAAAGCTAGCATTTAACTTTTATAAATTAATTAGTTTTAAATATTCAATTAGATGAATTATTGTAGTCTAATCCCATGGTACTTCAGTCTCCCTTTCTACCAGTATGTCAAGTATCTAAAATGGGACACACCATTTCTGTGAATATCTGTAGCTCAATGTTCTGCTTTGTTTTTTCTACTCGGAGTTTTACATTAATTTTTCAATGGCAGAAAATGACAGAGGTGTTTTTACCTGCTACTAAACTTTCACCTTAAGATAGTTCTGGAGTAGTTTCCATTATTCTCTTTTTCGTGGGTAGTCAGGTGTGCCCTCATAGGAAATTCTAGATCATTTCTTAGAAGTATGTCAAGGACATTTACTTGCTGAAGATGTCTGTTTGTTGCAGTGCAGCAGAGATTTTTGAGTCTTTAGTCAGCCTAAATTCTTTCATCCGCTGATACTATTATGAGTAAGTCACAATACTCTGTTGAGCATTTTTCATATTCACTAGAGGATATAGCAAATATGAGAATAGATAAGCAGGTGTATTATCCCCCTTATCAGTGTTTGGCAAAGGTTGTTCCTTAATATTTCCATTCTTGTTCTGAGATTCATTTCTACAATGACAGTTTACTATGCTTTACAAAAAGATCATTCTTAATACAATGAATGATTTATTCCATGCTGTACTATTTAATGATGAAGTATTGTTTAGATTTGACAATTTAATGCTTATTCATATCTGTATTTTCAGTATTGAAATGAGTAATAGCATAGAAAGCATCAACTCTGTTAGTCTCTAATTTTAAAATTCAGGAAAGTTGTGGGGGTTTTTTAAGCATAGTAAATCCCAGTAATTTGTTACCTTTTATTTTTGAGGAAGATAGATGATATCACTGAACTCAGTGCGTGTGTGACTATGTTTTTTCTTTGTGGATTCTGTGATCGTTTGCTGCCTTTTGGGTTGGGTAGCTGAGTGCTAGTAATAACTGAGCATAGCAGAGGAGTTCAGTAAGACACAAATTTGGGCTGCTAGAGAGTGGACATACTCAGACTGCAAGGTTTTTAAACTGTTGTGGAGGAATCACCAAATTTTATTTTTTGGATGGTCATTTTCATTAACGCTCATTTTTAGATATGTAATCAAGAATGCATAAGCATATCTTGATGCCCTTCTAACAGTCCATCTGTGTAATGACAAGGTTAACTTACCATGGGCTTAGTAAGGGACATGCCTGTCTTTCATACTGGCGTTCAGAAACTGCTCTTAGGTGCCTCAACTCTGCAGCACACTGGAAAATTTCAGGGTATGAGAAAGACACCCAACACAATGAGTTCAGCTAGCTATTGGGGGTTTTTTTTTATTGTTTTTTAATAAAAAAGAAAAGTCTATCATTTTCTAACATAGGATGGTAGCTAATAAGAACATCTACTAAACTCACCTAAAACAGTTCCCTCGTTATACATATTTTTCTACATATTTTCCCTGTTAATGGATGAATTTGATCCACTTACCAGTTGTGTCTGTGTATTTTTTAAATGCTGTTCCTGATTTGAACTTTTTTTCTGTTGCACAGTGCAAATACAATCATCTTATTGATACCACCTATATCTATTGAGTAACATCTTCAGCGTGTTCTAACAGCAATAGGATTTTCCTTGTTGAAAGTGAAGATACTGTTTATTTTATTACTGCGTTTCACACAGCACTCCTCTTTGTTAACATACTGTTTCTGTTCAGGTGACGTGAAAAGAAAAGCAATCAACTTATTTGCAACATTCTGATTCTGGCTAAACACCAAGAAAGACATTGACCTCTTGGGATGTGTGATTTCAACCCATAACTATATTCAGCTGCATTTAATTTTTTAGTGTGCCATAGGCTTTCCGGTTTAAAAGAGCACCTGTTAAATTGGTACCAGTTTCAGTCTTTAGAGTCCTTCTACCCAACCTTTCTTCTACCCAACCTTCCCTAAGATTTTTCCACTAATTCTGGAAGAAAGAACAGATGGGATAATGTCCTTTTCCAATAATTTCCTGATCATCTCTTCATACAAATACATATTTAGATATAGAACACCACATAAATATGAAGCCCATTCTGCAATCCCCTCCCAAAATTTGTTTTTGTTGAAACTGCCTGTTTCACTTCTGGCTAGGGAGACTCTCTCAACCCCACTGTTACAAAATAGCTCATTGTTTCTCCTTCTAAATTAAAAAGCCTTCCTAGAATGTGCACTTAGATGTAAATTGTTTGACTGTGGTAATTCATTCAAATATAGGCCTATTTAAGGAGTTTTAAAATCTGCTTTATTGGAACCCTGTGGCTTTTACAGCACATTAGACCTAAATTAAGCAATAGGGAACCTACTCTCCCTTTACTTCCAGCTGTCCTTTCCAGACCAGGTAGCATGATATTGTCTTTAGAATTATTTATGTATCTCCCTCATTATTTTATCACGTATTTTAAGGTGGCAGATTTCTGTCTCCTAGCACTATACAGTTTAACAGAGTAAAACCTGGATGAAGCAGGCAGGGATTTTTAGTAATCAGAAAAATATAGCATGATTTTTGGTTTCAGGTGTTCAGGTTTGCTGTCATGAATTCGGGATGCATTTTCATATTCTTTTTTTTTTTTTGAGAATAAATGGAAGCAGTTGCTTATGTAGGAAATGAGACAGTTTTTTTGCTTGTCATCTGAGCAAAATACCATATTTTTAGCCAGGCTGAAGTGATGATGGATACCGACTAATAAAGCTAAAATTGTTGTCTGGTAGAAGTCTTAGTATATTTTAAGATGATAAGTTATGTCATGCCTTCCACAATCCCTCGTGAGCACCTCTGAGACTCAGCTCCTGCCTTTAAAAATATTTTACAAGCCATAATGTACAGGGACTTCAGACTAGATTATAACAGCAGTGTGGAGGAGTTTGGGATGTGCTAAAAGTTTAGCCTGGGGTAGGACAACAGTGGGTCCCAGGGATCCTTTGTCAGGAAAGCAAGCTCAAGGTGTTGTTTGGCATAGAATAAACCAGAATAAAGGTTGTTCTCCTGCATTCTGGTTGTACCTCTGAGAAAAGGAAGCCCTCCGTAGCTGTAGGCTAGGCTGAGCAGCTTTTACTGCTTGCTTAACCGTAGAAAGGTGTTTCAGCATCAGTGGAGCTTGGAATGAGAAGTTGTGCAGGAGGGTGGAGAACAGTTGTGGGGCCAGGGAGCTGTTGACTCTTCCTGCAACCTCTCCTTGAAAATAAAACTTGTGAAAATCCTGTAACTCATTGATATCAACTACCACTATAGGTCATAGGATGAATTATTGGAACTAGTAAATTTCTGTGTCATTGGTATTTGGTAATGAGCTGACAATCTGAGGGCATGTTACTTTGCTCTTGGAATTGCTCTGCAGTGAGGTGTCTTGCTTTAGGGGTCACTGGAAGCTGCTGGCACTGCTTCTCCTAATTTGTGATTTCCCTGAAGACTGCTTGAGGGCTGGCATGTGCCCCTCCATAGCTCTAGGCAAGTGTGGCAGCAGAACTGCAAGCTGCACATAGTATATGAATTGCCAACTGCTTTATGATTTCTAATTACTGGTTTGACTTACTCCAAATGAATTCAGAGTGCTAGCAGCTAGAAAATAATCTCATATTCTATCAAATGTGTTGATATTAAATTACTGAGGTAAGTAAACATGATGTTCTTCATGGATGCTTTGAGCCTTCTCTGTAATTTTTATGATTTAAAAAAGATAACTTACATAAATCACAGTCTCTGTGTACATCTGTATATATGTATGTGTTTGCGAGGGAAATCTTCATGCCATTTATCCTTTGTTTTGCAGACAAAACCAGTTGCATTTGCAGTTCGGACAAATGTTGGGTACAGTGCAGCTCACGATGATGATGTTCCAGTCCCAGGCATGGCCATCTCATTTGAGGCTAAAGATTTTCTTCATGTTAAAGAAGTAAGTAAAACTAGACAAGTAAGTGCATCTCCCTTTAAGGGTCTGAGTTATAGGGCTACTATTTCTTAACATTAAGATAACACTTCACATTGTCAAAGCACTATACAAATGCTATAAAATAAGGAACTGAATATTCCTTGAAATATTATTCCTATAAAAGCGATGACATAATTTCTTTACAATCAAATTAATAAAGTTTGGAAAGTGAATGCTTTTCTTCTTTAGTAAAACTAATTTATTTTGAGCTTTGAAAGTCTACATCTGCATATTCAATGGTATAATTTTTCAGGATTTTACCATTCTGATTCTATGAGGGTTCATTGTGATTCAGCAGCCGAGGGTTGGTTCTCTTTTGTTTGTGTGACTGAATCTCAGTTAACCCTGAAATCCTCAGGTCTCCTTCTTTTCAGTGATGTTACTTCCCTGGCACAGACAGTATTTTGTTAACAGTTACATACTGAAGAACTGATGTGATGTTTCATGATGATAGCAACTGTCAAAAAAGGCACTTTGTGTAAGCTGTATTGGATTTCTTCTGTAGTTTGGCTTTAAAAATTTCCAATTTTTACAGTTTCAATCACCTGAAATAATTTTCATTTTCTGCTTCTTGAAAAACAATATAAAGCAAATAACTTAGTAACTTTCCCATACAGGCCCTCCATAGCAGCCCCCTGGTCCCTTCTGAATGATTCCCTCATTTTACAAATTTTCCCAGCTTCTGGTCATATTCCATTGTGTTTCGTCATAAAATAGTCCATCTGGAAATAGAAATTTATAGCAGAAGAACTAAGAAGTTAGCTTAGGCATGAGAGCAGCGTAGCCATGCATTTAAAGTTATAGCTTTGCGCCATTTTAGACTATCAAAAAATCCCTCAGTAGTTACGATAATGCACAAGGAATCTGCTAGTGCAGATGCTTTGTGGAGGCGATAAGCATTCCTAATACACAGGTAGAAATGCAGGTGTACAGAGGCTAAGGAAACACAAGAAACAGACTTCGGTGCCTTCATACTGATGACTAATGATGATCTTTTTCCATATATGTCAAACACACCAAAAAAACCCATTAATTTGGACTCAGATTGTATATAGTAAAGGAAATGTTTTTTCTACCCGATGATAGTGCACAATAATTGCTTTCTCTTGTGACAGAAGTAGAGATGAGCAGGTACAGAGTCCTGTCAAAAGAAAACCATCAGTATTCTTTGGTGAGACTGGGAACACTGGAAAATACAGCACAATTTGGTTAAATAAATGATTTTGTATAGTCATCTATTCTGTCTGCATTTCAAATGAGGTCATAATCTCAGACTTCACATCAGGTGTTTCCTCTGTTTCCATATGAACCAGAAATACACTGTTAGCAGATCTTCTGTTATAATTTATGCTTTTTCCTCCCAGCACAACTTAGACTCACATGTAAATATGCATGGGAGAAAATGAGGAAGAAAAAGTTTTCTGAACTTTTCTGGATCTTCAGAAATGCCTTGAAAGGAGGCTTAGCTCAGTTGAGTTGTTACGTTGTCTGCAACTGCATCTAGCATTGAGCAATGGAAAAATAGATCTAAATATTCTTGCAGTTTCAGATGTAACAGAATAGGCTCTCTGTGGTAATTGCCTTTAAAAATACCTGATTTTCTCTCTAAGTAGTTAAGGAAAGTTGACTATCTGGCGGTGCTAGGTCAGAGCTGTATTGTGGAAGGGACGCTGCACCCACACCAGATGGAGAGGTAGGAAGGGACTCACAAGGATTCAGACTTGGACCTAAATTCTCTGGTCCCGTGTTCGGCAGCAGCTGTTGCATCTGGGTGGGTTGAACCTCTTCAGGAGTGTGCCCCAAGCAGCAGCTCTTTCCTGCACAGCCGCATCCTCCCTCTCCATCTTCTGTGGCCATGCCCTCCTCACTCTCCAGGGCGATATCCCACCAGATACTGCTCCTTCAGTAATTTTTGTGCTTCCTATAGTTAATGCTGGGAGAACTGAAATGTCCAAAGTTTAATCATTTTTTCAGATGAAAAGCAAAAAAAGCCATACTTGACTATAAAATGTAGCTTTGCTTTTATATTTTATACCTAACTGGTTGCTAGAAATAATGAAATCTAAGTTAATCTCCAATAACTTTGACCTGCATTGTAAGGCCACACTGGATCATTGTTGTTCTCTTCTTGTCTGCGAGGAGTATGCTCTGATCTGTGCTGCTGGGAGGGCTCAGACAAGAAAAAGCTCAGTTCAAAATGTGCATGGGCAGTGGTGAAAAGTACTGCAGTGATTATTTTCATTATTAGTTTACATTCATTAAGGCTCAGTACATATAAAGATGAAGGATTCCTTCCTGCTTGAAGAAACAAGCACTGTACTATAGTTGCTCCTGGACCTTTTGAGGCTTTAGTGCATGGCCATAATTCTGCTTCGCGTGTAATTTGTCTTGGCACTCCAAGCACAGGTTGATTACAGAAAATTGCTCACCCCAGCCTCCACCTTGAGAGCTGGACACCTCACTACCAAGATTAATGTGGTTGTGTAGTAGCCTGCTGTACTGTAGAGCAGTGTAAAGAAGTAGTGGCTGTTCATATTTTGATTTAGTGGTGGTTTTTAGATATCTATCTCTTTCTTTTACAAAGTTAATGATACTACTTCTGCAGACATCATGTATACCGTAGTTCCATAAAACGACAACCTCCATTGGCTCAATTGCTATAGTCTTCCTCCACCTATATTATCCTACAGTATATTTTAAACACACATAAATATCTTTGGTTAGCATTTTGCAATGAAAGGTTATGGTTTTTATAATACGCTTCAGTCTAATACAGCTTTGAGATACTGCTATTCCAGATTAGCTCCCTTTTAAATAGTGTTATTCTTACTCATAAAGGCATCCCACAGGATGAATGTTACAGATACCCTTATATTTTATGAGCTTAAAAGTGAGTTTATTTTAATCTTTATTTTTTGTTAGCTAAATATCTTGAAGTTCATTTCAAATATCACATTCCTACAGTCGCCAAAATGAAAGATAATACTGCAATTTAGGTGGTGTATCATTGATCCACCATCATTTGTATTCTCAGTGAAGTAATTCCTTTTTATGGGAGCCCACACATTTTACATGTTTAAGTCCTAACTGTACACCTGTTAAAACTACTTCTTTAATAATGAAACATGCACTATAATATATACATTCATAGCTTCAGATTCAAGGAGGCAACTTTTCTTCCCATTCAGATGATCTCTTACAGTTTCATAAATAATCCAAACTATCCAAAATTCGTGTTTTAGGGTTGTTCCCATGGAACTCCTAAAGCATTGAATATGAGGCTATACATGAGTGACCTCATCCAAAAATTAATAAATAATAATGGAAAAAGCAGATAGTTCTGCTCTACAGATCTTTGCAAAACAAACAAAAACCACTGTGTATAAATAAAAGTAATTAGAGTAGTCATTATCTCATATTTCATATGGCTGAAATTCAGTGCATTTGTATAATTGCAAGGGGCTTTCAGCTATACAAAGATACCCATTCCTTGTGGATCTATGATAGTACGTTTAAGATGCAGATCACATGAGCTGTATGCAGTAGAGCATATATAAGCAGCAGGATGTAGTCATATTTCAGAAGATTTTAGTGAGTTCAGAGAAGTGGGACAGTTTGAGAAGTAGTACTTTTTATTTCAAATAGAGAATTGAGTATAATGGAGTAGGAAAAATAGATTATTACACAGCTGTAAAATTATTGCAGTCGGTAGGAGCAGATCAGAAGAAATCTCTGGTGTCCACCAAGGAGAAACATCAAGGGAAAACAAAAGCAGCTCTCATGTATGAGGGGAAAAATCTGTGAAGCAGAAAAACATAAAGATGGGGAAATGGGTGGAAATAACAGCCAGGGAGAATATGAAGTCTGCGGAGGAAGGTTTCTGCAATTTAATAATTTGCAAGGTATCATTATTTTAACATATTTCTGGATATTACCACAATTATTCTTCTTCATTGCCATAATAACATAGTACAGTGATTAAGTGCAGGGAAGAATTACATAAAATGGCTTAACTGCAAATTAAAAATAATACCAAAATGATGACAAATGCAGTATTTTCTTAGTATATTGCTTTTTTTTTTTTTTTTTTTTTTGTAGAAATTTAATAATGACTGGTGGATAGGACGGTTGGTAAAAGAAGGCTGTGAAATAGGATTCATACCAAGCCCAGTCAAACTAGAAAACATGAGGCTGCAGCATGAACAAAAGGCAAAACAAGGAAAATTCTACTCCAGGTAATAACAACAAATCATTAAAAATGGTAGCATTGCCTGTGACACAACTTGGAAGTTAATGCTGTGTATGCTATGCTTCTGTTTAATTATTGTAATTGGTAGTTACAAACTTTTTGAAAGACTGAAGGAATTAGCATTTATTTATATAATTAATGTCATTGCCATTAGAGAGAGAAAGTAGATATTTAGATTGATAGTCTGTGGTGGCCTATTCAATTTTATTTTCATAAAATATTTGCAAATATACATTGCAGTTAGTACGTTTACTATGTGCAAGCACAAATTTTGATCTCCCTGAATTCTTTAGCATTTGTTACTTGTTTCCATGATCCTGCAATTTCAAAACCTTCTAAAATCACCTTTAAAGCTGCTTTTAGAAGTTACAGAAAATGTTTAGATCAATTTATTTGTAAGCTGAAATCAATGCCTGTTAGGTACCTCATAGGGAAATCGTTTTCTGGTCTTGTCAAATTCATTGCTTACAAATACAGCGTTTAAGAATACTACATTTTAGGATGGAAGTTTCACATCAAATCGTTCACTGTCTCTGACTGTAGCCATCATTACATAAAAATAAAGATTCAGTCTCCAAATGTATCGAACAAAACTGCAAGATGGTAATAATATTATCTTTACTGTAGAATTCTTAATAAAGCAGTTTTCCAGTAAACATTAACACATGTGGAAGCAAATGTTACTTGCTTCCCTTTGAGTATATAGGAAACAAATATTTCCAGGATGACTCAGCATATGAACCTAGAATTAAGAAAATGTCTAGGGAACATTTGGGAAGCCAGAGAGGCTTTCCTACTTCAAAAGGAAGGGCAGCAGTGTTTGAAAAACACATCTATGCTAGGAGGAGACCAGGATGCTGCAGTGCTCAGTTGCATTTGCTAGCAGTGAAATGCCTTTCCTATGTGTGCTGTCTTCAGCAGGGGGAATCAGGTTCCTTATACTTCTGATACAGCCAAATTTGACTCAGTGATTCAGACCCTTTCCAAATTGTAAAGGCTTCCATTCTCCGGAACTTCTCACTGGAGATAACACTGTCCTACACTGCAAATGCATTTACTTAGTGCTTATTAATATTTTAAGGTGAACTGGAAACTAGTACTATCACAAGAATTATGTTAACAAATAAAAGGCTAAAAATATTGTTTCATTTTCACAACTTGGATAGGCAGAACTTGACAAAACCTTAGACTGCTTTGTCTTCGTTTGAGAGACTTTTTTTTCCCCAAAGTGCTACCTTGTATTGAGACAGCAAAAGAATTTGTACTTTCATTAAATTGAAAAGATGCTAGGCAAACATACTAACATTTTCATTAGGGAGCTACCAATAATTTGTCCGTTAAAGGGAACAGATATGCTCATTGGCTTAAGAATTAGTCTTAGTAATGAGTGTTAGTATTAATAATTATATATCAGTAGCCACATTAATGGTTGGATTGTATTAAGATCATGAGGTAGTGAGAACATATGCAGCAGAATGAAGTTGCACAGCAGAACCAGGAGCATGGATGATGTTTGCAGTTCCTCAATCCTTGAAATGTATACAAGTTTTGTGTAAGATGTATATTCTATATCTCTGTCAGAAATAGTTTCTCTCTCAGCTAGCAACTCATTTAGAAGGCAGGTGAAAAATAAAGTAGAATAACTATTAAGAAAGATATGAAACTTCCAACTAATTTGTTGCTTTACTCCAGTAAATCAGGAGGAAACTCTTCATCCAGTTTGGGTGACATCGTTCCTAGTTCCAGAAAATCGACGCCTCCATCCTCTGGTGAGTAGGTCATGAACTCTTCACCTTACGGATTCATGCACATAATCTTTTAAAATTTATATACCTTTAGTCCTATTTTTCTTATTCCGTGACTTCATAGGTATAAGTTTGGACTATTGCTTTGCCCTGTAAGGCTGGTTTGAAGTAACGGAGTCAGTGCCTACAAGTTCAGGCAATGTTGAGGCTGTTAACAATGCACACAATTCCCTATTTGCTTTTACCATGGTGTTTTATAACAAATACATAATAAAATGATGAGACTGCATTGCAGTAGGATAGTTAGAGGTTTGGTCTAGTCT